GTTTTTCTCTTTCTCACTCTTTTCTTTCATCTTCTTAAACCCATTCCTTTAACATATCTTGTAGTTCTGGTTTGGTAGAGATGTATTCTTGTAGCCTTCTTTTGTCTGGTAAACTTTTTATTCCCCCTTCTATTTTAATTGAGAGCCTTGCAGGGTAGAGCGGCCATGTTGTAGGCCCTTGCTTTTCATTACTTGGAATATTTGTTGCCATTCCCTTCTGGCTTGTAGTGTTTCTGTTTAGAAGTCAACTCCTAGCCATATCAGGGCTCCTTTGTATGTTACTGCCTGTTTCCCCCTTGCTGCCTTGAGGATTCTCTTTTTCTTTGACATTTGCCATTTTAATGATAATGTGTCTTGGAGCTGGCCTCCTTGGGTCCCTCTTAAGTGGGGCCCTCTGTGCCTCCTGGATCCATGAGACCTTTTCTCTCCTTAAATTGGGGAAATTTTCCATCATTCCTTTTTCATACAGGTTCTCTTTCCCTTGCTCCTCTTCTCCTTCTGGTATCTGTATTATGCAGATATTACTGTGTTTCAAGTTGTCCTGCACTTCTGTACATGCCTCTTCATTCTTTCTGAGTCTTTTTTTTCCATTTCTTGTTCTTTCTGAGAGCTTTTTTCTACCTTATCCTCCATCTCACTGATTGGATCCTCGGCTTCGTCCAGCCTGCTTTGGATTCCTTCTACTGTGTTCTTCAATTCAGAAATGGTATTCTTCATATCCTCTTGTGTCTTCTTGATAGTTTCTATGTCCTTCTCCACGATGATATAGTTTGCTGAAAGATCCTGAGAGTTTCCCTGCAGTTTCTCATAGTTATCTTTGAGCTGGCTGAGTTCATTGAGCTTCCTTAGAGCCATTGTTTTGAATTGAATATCTGATAGTTCCCTTTCCTCCATTTCATTTAGCTCTCTCTGTGGGGATTCCCATTTTCCATTCATTTTGGGGGAACTTCTTTCCTTCCCATTTTTCTGAGAGTCTATTATATTTATTTATTTATTTATTTATTTATTGTTGCTTGTGCCTCAATTGATCTCTCTAGATTTCCTGACTTCGTTAATTAAACTTCTATGGTAGTAGGCAGATCTTTTTATTTATTCATTTATTTTTTCTTTACTTTTCTTTCTGGGCCTGCCTCTGATGATGTCAGTTGTTGACCCTATCTGACCTCAGGTCATTTGTTTTAGCCTTCCAGGAATCTACTGTCTGTGTTTGACTCCTGCTTTGGGCAGCTCTGTAAACCTTTCAGTCAGGGATCTACTATTTCTGTGCATAGGTCTGCACTCTCACGCCATTCCTTTATCGTGTTTCCTGGCCCCCACCAGCAGGATCACCCACCTGCCTGGGCTCACCCCTGTTCCAGTGTGGGCGTGTGCGCTTGCTTCAGTCCTGGGCAGCTTACTTGCCTGACCTCACACACCCACCTGCCGCCCTCACCTGGCGGGCCCGCCAGCCCTGGTCAGTTTAGGATCTTCTACTTTGTGCTTTCCCTGCTTTTGGCTCTTTGGGGGTGTGACCTGCCTGGGCGAAATGGAGACTAGGGAAATGGGAAGAAGTCAGCTCTGGGACTGTCATGTTAATTCCGTCTCCAGTCTCTTCTCCAGCATCTCTGAGCAGCTCTGTGACCCCTTCGGCTATGGATCCACTATTTCTGTGGACCGTAATTGCGAGCTTTCTGGCTCCCGTGCCTGCCTCTGCCTCTTCGGGGTTGCAACCTTCCTGTGCAAATGGGGACTATGGCTTGGGGAGGGACTCTGCTCTGGGGATCTCAGATAATCCTCCAGTTCTTTCCCCAACCCCTCCGTCTCCAGTCTCTCCTCATGGGTCTCTATGCAGCTCTGTCCCCCCATTGGCCAGGAATCCTCTATGTCTTCCAGCCAGTCTGCACTCAGCCCTTAGACCCACATGCCCACAAGCTGTGTGCAGAACACACAAATGGCAGGTTAATTGATTCTCTTATGCCTGAGTGAGGTGGTAGCTGCAGAGTGGGAGGTAAGTTATCACAGGGGCTCCACTGTCCACCATCTCTGTTCTCTTCACAAATCTTTCCTCAGGCACCAGCCCACTCTTCTGCTGCCTCTACCCAGAGATCAAGGAAGGCGGCTTCCACTGCAAATTTTTGCGTTGGCCTTTTATATGTCTCTTTGCCTCTCCAGCCACCTATCTCTGGCAGAGAGCACCCCTAAGCTTTTCTGGGTTGCGCTTTGTCTGTGCATTTTCCTAATTTCAGCTGCTGTAGTCTAGGGGTCCTTATTTATGGTTCGGACCCTGTTCTTCTCAGGAGGATCCGACTGACAGTTTCAATGTCCCTCTGGTGCTAGTGCCCGTGGGTGCCCAGCCAATCCTCTCAAGCCTCCACCGCACTTCTCACCTGTTGGGATGTGTTAGAGTTGAATCCACTGTCTGTCCTCGGCTCCAAGGCTCCTCTTCCTCTATCATTCCATTGTTTTCCAAGTGATCTTTCCACTATTTAGTTGCAATTCCAGTTTGGTCTTCAGGGGAGGTCCACGTGTCTCCCATTCACTCCTCTGCCATCTTCTTTCTCAATTATTGCTAATTCTGTAGACTGGAAATTTGTTACTGTTTAAGTTCCAGAAATCTCATCTTAAGGATGTCATTGAGATCTTAGTAATTCAAGTAAAATGCCCACTCTACAAAAACATTTATGAATAAGTAAAATAACATGTAAATGTCCCTAACCATATGGGACATTTTGCTATGATAGCATTTTCTCTATGTGTTCATTATAAAACTCTAACCAATAGAGATTTACCAACTATTAGTAAATATTCATAAGGTTGTTCAACAAATGTTTTCAAGTAGCATTTTAATTTTAAATTTACTGGAACTTATAAAGACTATATAAAGTGTTTTACCTGTGAATAAAAGCCAAAGTTTGAATATGAGTAAGTTTCAGGTAAGTGCCATTAAAACCAATTTTCCACATTGACCTCATTCTATTGTGTTCTTAGAGAGGCTGGCACTCTAACAATGTTAAAGTTGGCAAATGGAAATACGGTTAGAATTTGTCTTCCAGATACTCACAATGGCCTTTAAAGGAAATGATATTATAGACAGCACAGACTGTCATTTAGGCACAATGTCAATGCCTCCATTATGATGATTTCTTCTGTCAGTACAAACAAGACAGCTTTGAAATTCCCTGTACTATCAGGGGGTACTTTAAATTCCTCTTGTACAGCCCTCTAAGAGGGGTGTTCACTTTCAAAACTTGGACTTGTACTACTGACTTCTACCTAAAGAAAAAAGTTATAGAATTCACCAAGTACTGACATTACTTCATAATCTTTCAGTCATTTTACTTTTCAGTATTCAGCAAGTAGATGACGCCATTTTACATACAACACTTGAGTGAAAATGCAGATCACCCTGGAACAGGTGCTAGTTTGTAATGGTATCTTTCAGAATGTCTCTACAAAATTACATTTTCCTCTTAAATTCTCAAGTCAAGCATTTGCATTCCTTATAAACAGCCAGGCAAGAAAGCCAGCTTTTGGCTAAATAAAATTATGTGCAAATACATCCATCATGCATTGAAGCTGTCCATTAGGGAGTCATTTGTAGGAAACTTAATGAATGTTTCTTATTCTGGAACATCAACCTAGCAATTTTAATTTTGAATGTGTCAACGTAAGAAGCATCCAAACCTGTAAGAATTTTTACGAGTTTATTTGAATAACTCAAACTAAACCCAGAAAGCAAAACTTCAAAGGATTAAGAAAATGCTCTGGGAAATGACAGTTCTGAAGCTTATTTTAACTACTACAGTGAAAATAAAATGTAAGTTAGTCACATTGATGAAATCCATTGATGATAGATTAGGGAGGCAGGAGACAGCAAAGCAGGGGAGTAAAATGATAGGAACATACTTCTTTTACATAAGTGGGTACAGGATAGTTAATAGTCAATGATTTACACAATAAAAATAACAATGAAGAGATTTATGTTCTCTCTCTGGTGTGGGGCCATGCTTTGAAGGGTCTGGTAAAAAAGGAAATTTGACATTTTAAAGGTATGTTATCAGAGATTCAAAAAGTCAATAGACAGGCTCAGTTTAGGTAAAGATTGAATTTTGTCATGGAAGATTCTAGCCTGGGACATGACTACCCAACATGACCTGCTTTTAGTTAGAAAGTTTTTAATTTCAGACTATTCTATGTGGTTACTTTAGGTCTCTGAGTTTGCAAGGCCATCGCACAGGCCTCCCCCAACTTGTCAGGCTTCGTGTGTGGCCCTTTTTTGTCCATAAACACTTCTTACTGGCTTGATGTAGTAGATTTAATACCATGTAATACTGTATTTATGTGCTCTCATAGGACCCCTTTGCCCTGTTTTTCACTCAAATATGCAGCCTATTATTGATGTGTTTCTGTTGTTCAGTTTTAGTAATTAAAATAATTTTGATCAATGGAACTTCCAGAAAAAAAAAGTCATAAAAAGCAATGATTGTTAGGACTGTTTGTGTCATCATCAAAACTTTCAAGTATTGAAAAGTTTAGAAAGTCTCAGTTCTTCCCTATTCGTTAAAGATCTTCAGTGTGCTTCTGCTTCAGTGCTAAGTATAAGCTGCAAATGAACATCCTTACTTCATCCTTGAAGAAACACATTGAATTTGAAGCTATTTAATGCTACCATATAAATTTCTATTTGAAGGTATTTCTAGTGCCATCCTAAAGTGTATAAAATAAAGGGGCAGAGCTAGAAGCATGATTTAATACCTTCCTCCAGAAATAGCTTTTCTTGTAGGAGAAAAACTATATTAAAAAAAAGAAAGAGAAATGAAATTTCTACAGCATTTTTGCTCATTGTAAACTCCCATGGGGGAAAAAAAGTTGATTTTCTTAATAAAATAAAGTTGAGGAAAATAAAACACTAAAATATTTTTACAATATCTTCTACAACATTTTCTTTTTTTTCCTGTTAACATTTTTATTTTTTCAAGGTAACAGGAATTGTATACAAATGACAGTAGACCCTTGCCTCTTTATTTTTATCTAAATAAAAGATAACTGAAGATGAATTCTCAAGAAAGAAAAGAGCTATGTACATAAGGGACTATATCTTCCTTCATCGTCTACTTGGAACCAGTAGTTGTGTTGCTGTCATAGAATCAGGAAAGAGGTTGTGATAAGTTAGAAGAGGTACATATGCTGCTGTTATCATTTTACCAGCAAACCACCTGCCATGCAATGCGTTGACAGCAGCAATGGCTGCAGCAATTGATGGGCACTTCACATACACATTGCCCTGAGCTGAATTTTTATCAACATAAATATGAATACCTCCTCCATGTTTATTACATTCTTCAATCACATCATCCTTAATCTCTGTATGCCATCCAACTTCTTCTTCTGTTTGAGGGTTAAACATGTTAGAGAGTTGAAAACACTGTGTTGCAAGAGGTTGAACAGAGGCAGCTGCAGCTAAAGCTGAAGCTTCGGTCTGTTGGGAAAGTCTTGTTTGCAAACCTATAAGAAAAGAGAATTCTGCCACAGCACCAAATGCCAAAGAGCCACTCATTTGTAGAGCCTGCTGTGCTGCTGGTGAGATCTGCAAACCTGTACCCTCTGCAATCTTGCCATTAATTGAAGACGACCAGTTGTTTCCAAGTCAATTTCAGTCCTTTCCAGTTCATCACTGTCCAAAAATGAGTTAGCACTGGAAGCATCAATACATTCAGTAACATGACCAACTTTCATTGGCCTTCCAGCTAGCTCAAACCCATTAAGTTGTTCCAAAGCCTTCTTGGCACATTCTGAATCAGAAAACGTTGTAAATCCATATCCTTTGGATCGACCTGTTTCACTATCCATCATGAGCTGGATACTTTCAATCCTTCCAAAAGGCTCAAAGATCCCCCGAAGCATATCTTCAGTTATGTTAAAGTGTAATGAGCCCACATAAAGCCTCATAGGTCCAGCACTTCCCTTTTGTAGATTGTTTGCCATTGCTGCAGCTCTGTGTTGTTGTTGTTTTTTTTTTTTTTCTGCCTGTGGTGCCTGTACTGTGATTGGCACGCCTAAAACACGTTGGCCAGTTAATCCTATCGCTAGAGGCACTGTGCTAACATCGACAAGCTCCACATAAGCAATTCTTTTGGAACTTCTTGAATTTCTGTCAGAAATCATCCTCACATCTCGAATCTTTCCTACTGTAGAGAAAAACTCTTCCAAATCCCTTGGCCGAATTCTTGCTGCCAGCTGCATGCAGAAAACAGTCCTTGCATCTCTTTCCTCAGGAGTTAAATTATCAATAGGTTCCCTCACAAGGCTCTTATCTTTTCTGAATGGACTTTTGCTTCCGGAGCGTCGTCTGTAAGGACTTCTGCAGCGGCCTCTGAATCTGCGATCTCGACTTCTTGAGCGACTCCGTCTCCTTTCCTTGCTTCCACTTTGCTTCCTTTCACGGCTTTTGCTCTTTTTCCTCTCTCTATCTCTGCTTCGTTTCCGTTCCTTACATTTGCTTCTTTTTCGTTCATGACTACGACTTCTGCTCTTGCTTTTTTTCCTCTTTTTGCTACGTTCTTCATGGCCATTAGCACTGCTCAACTTGTTCTCATCCTTCTTGTAAGGAGCCTCAAGCATTGCTTCAATATCAATGTCGCCTGCCATTTTCTCTAAACTCCTGTGCGGGCTTCTGGGCCCCTGTGGTGCTCGTATTCGGAAGGAAGGGAGCTGCTGCAGCTGTCGCCGCTGCTGCTGTTGCTACAGTTAAGCCTCTAGGCCCTCCAACATTTTCTTAATGATACTTCATGCAAGCAATTTGTTTTAATAATAAGACCTGTTCTTGGCCTTAAGAGTAGTATAAGCTTGTCAAGGTAACAAGTATGCCTTATATATTGTTATCTGTATTGTTTTATTTTTAATGCAGAAGGACAATTCTAAAGGAATAATTATATATTTTATAGTTTTCTTAGTTCATTTTGTTAACTAATAAGCCTGGACTCCAGATCATTTCATTGTTTTTCCTGCAAAGAAACCCTCTTCAAAACTTGATAGTGGATTTGTTTGGGAAGCTTTCCTAAGTGAACTATGTGAAAATATGTATTTCAGCTACTCTGAGTCTTCATTAAACTAGCATAAAGAGTTCTAGAAAGCCAAACACATGTTTCTCCTACGGGGAAACATTACAAGTCAAATGTCAGTAATATGGCACTAAAGAAAATGCCTCAATTAATTTAAACACTGGTATTCGTTCTAAAGCGATCCTTTGAGAAAAAGGAATAGAACTTAGAACAAAAAAGCATTCTTTCAGAAATGGGCTTTTATTGATAGTACAACAGCATAAGTTGTACTGAATTTTATAATCTCTTATTTCTAAGAATTATATTTATTAGCAATAATGCTAATAAGTTTTATGTTTGAAGTTAAGAAAATTGAAATTAAAACAATTTAAAAGAGGGAGCTTCCTATGTTTCTTTTTTTCATTTTTTTATTGTTGTTCAATTACTGTTGTTTCCATTTTCTCCCCATTACACTCCTCTGCCCTACCCACCCCCACCTCCCATCTTCAATACTATCCCCTGCCCCACTGTCTTTGTGCACCAGTCCTTTATACATGTTCCTTGATGACCCTCCCCCTTTTTTCACCTATTAATTTCCTCCTTCCTCCCCTCTGATTACTGTCAGTTTGTTCATTATTTCCATGTCTCTGGTTCTATTTTGCTCACTTTTTTATTTCATTGATTAGGTTCCACTTATAGGTGAGATCATATGGTATTTGTCTTTCACCACCTGGCTTATTTCACTTAGCATAATGCTCTCCAGTTCCATCCATGCTGTCACAACAAAGGGGGCAGGAGCATAAAATGGAGTAAAAAATAGCCTCTTCAACAAAGAGTGTTGGGAGATCTTATGGTTCTTGAAACCACTTTCCTAAATATGTTTTTGTTTAATATGCTCTTCTCAATGTCAAAATTATTTCCTAGTTTCAGAAGTTGAAAAAGATATATAATTCATATAATTCATTCAGTATTTTGCAATCCATATTTTATACCCATTCCCATGGGAGCACTACACTATCTAATTCACTTTTCATAGTATATGTTCTCAGATTCGCCAATGAATAAAATTACTCTCTTTGCAAAGTATTGCATCTGTAAAAAGAAATCAAACAAAATGAATTAATATTAACAAATGTTTTCCAGAAAACTGAAACCGCATGTCTAAGAATTTCTTTTGTCTGATTTAGTCTCCCCACCCCTGCCAAGAATCATTTTAAACAACTTTAGGCTACTCAAAACTTCTCAGTTGTACTGTGCTGTCTGACTTTATTTTTAATTTGTAGGACAACAATCAAGCAGTAAAATACACAAATATTGAATATTTATCTTACTAAATATTTACATACATGTTTGTTTATTAATTTGTATGTGTACATAGAGATAAAAATAGAAGTACAAAGAGTGATAGAAATAGAGCATGTGTCTGTGAAAGCACTAATCATATCAACATATAGAACCCTTTCGACACTCATTTGAGGCATGATCCCTTATAGTAACTCCTGTTTGAAGCCCAAGCACGCTAGATTAGTTTTGTCTGTTCTATATTTCAGAAAATGGCATCACACTGATATATATTTTATGGATTGTTTTATTAATTATAGTATTGTATAGTGTTTTTATTCCATGTTATTCTCCTGTAATATTACATCAATATCAATTTGTTAATACATTCTATTGTTTTTTATTGATCTTTAAACAGAAAGAAGGGGAGAAAGAGAAAGGGAGAGAGAGACCAAGAGAAACATCAAATTGTTGCTTCACCTGTTTATGTACCCACTAGTTGATTCCTGCATGTGTCCTGATCCTGCAACCCTGGTTCATGGGGATAACATTCTAACCAGTTGAGCCACTACTCAAGTACATTCTATCATTGATGGATACTTGGGTTATTCCAGTTTTTATCTCCTAATAAATAAAGCTTCTGTGAACATTATTGTTTATATCTTTTGGCCAAAATTCTCATTTATTAATCTTGGGAATACACTCAGAAGTGAAATTGTTTTTAGTTTGGTTGGTATAAATTTAATAAATATTGACAGATACTCTTTCAGAGTGATTATTTTAGCTGGCTATTCTTAAATACATAATTAAATGGCATCACTGACTTCTTCTACATTGGGATCTTTATATTATTATGTATACTGGAAATAGTCTCATTTTTATGTATATTGAAAGTAGAGAAGTCTTTTTTCGGCACTATCTCTTTCTAGGTGAAGTAAATTATAAGTTCAAGCCAGATACAAGGCTAATAATACCTGGGATGAGGGTGGGGAAGCAGGGGTGCTCTGTGGAAGACCCTGACAACAAATGGTTGCTATTTATTTGATGCTAAGGCAGAATTACAAAGTGTTCTAGAGCAAGGGTGAGCAAAATTTCTTTAACAGGATAGGTAGTGTATATTTTCAGCTTTATGGTCTTTGACACAATTACTCAATTTTATTTATGGACAATAAGCTTGAATTTCATAAAATTTTCATGTGTCACAAAATATTATTCTACTTTTTATTTTTGTACAGCCATTTAAAATGTAATGCCATTCTAATCTCTCAAGCTATACAAAAAAAAAAAAAAAGTGCCTTGCCAGTTTTAATCCACAGGCTGTAGCTGGCTGACCTAGAACAAGGAATCTAGCTAAACTCTTGGCTTCTGTTGTTCTGTTATCAGACTTCCCCTCATTTTTTAAATTGAAGAAAAATATACAAAGTAAAAAAAGGAAAAATACATTTTTTATTCCTTGTTATAAATGTGCATGATAAGGAGAAACATTAGACACATTCAAGAAGGTATTTGATATTCTTAGACAATAAGCCCTGAGTTTGTTGTAAATATTAAGACCTTCCACATCAAAGTGGTGTCTTATAAGGAATGGAGAAAGCCCATGATGTACTTAATCAGTGTTTATAAAAATAAATAAATATGCTTTGAGATTAATAATTTGTCAACAATATGTATGGATTTATAAAAGAAGCTAATATTTCATAAAAATTTTGTCACTTATTGAAAATATTTGAATTTGATTTTTAACATACATTGTATTACCTAGATCTTTTCTTTTGGCCTCCATTGAAAGACCACAAATTGAGTAATAAAGAAGTACAATCTCACCTTACTTACAGTAAAATGATTTCAATAAAGGTTTATTAAATTATTGCCATATGCAGCTAAGCGCTGGAGGGAATTTAAAAAATCACCAAATGATCAAGTGTCAGTTACCCATTTTAGACACATGCTCCCATTCTCTCTCCATATATATATATGGAGAGAGAGAGAGAGAAAGAGAGCAAGAGAGATTGTATTTCTCAATGTATTTATTGGAACCAACTAAGGTTTACTTATTGCATTCAGCTGTTAGATCTCTTCAGTCTTTTCATCTAGAACAATCCTCTACCATTTTTTCTTTTTTTGTTTTTGGTCATAACTAATATTTTGGTCATATTATATATTAAAATCTATAAGAGAAAATTATTGAAAAATGATACACATATTGTATTTTTTTAGAAACCGCTCCATGTTTTCCATTAGCTTTTGGTTATAAACTCTGTAAACTGATATTTAGAGTCTAGATAAAACTCAGGTTTATTCATGGCAAGAATACTTCTTAGGTGAATGCTTGGAGGCTTCATATTGTTTTACTTATAAAAAACATACAATTTTAGGTTGACACATGAATTAATAATGCTGTGTTTGATAATTTGATTTAATGTAAGGATTCTTAATTTACTGAGATCAATATTTGTAATTTTATTTTTTTTCTAGGAAATTATTTAATTAATCAAGCTTATTTTAAAAATACATATGTAGTTATGTTCCGTTAACCTATGTGTCTGTTTTTATGCCAGTACCAGGCTGTTTTTGATTGCCATGGCCTTGTAGTACAGTTTGATATTAGGTAGTATAACTCCTCCAAATTTGTTCTTTCTCAGGATCATTTTTGCTATACGGGGCTTTCTGTGGTTCCATATAAATTTTTGAAATATTTGTTCCAGTTTTGTGAAATGCATCATTGAAATCTTGATAAGAATTGCATTGTAAATTTAGATTGGTTTTTGTAGCATGGACATTTTAATGATGTTAATTCTTCCTGTGTTTATGAACATAGTATGCACTTCCAATTATTTGTATCTTCTTCAATTTCTTTCTTTAGTATCATAATTTTCTGAGCACAGGTCTTTTACATCCTTGGTTAGATTAATTCCTAGCTATTTTATTCTTTTTGAAGCAATTGTGAATGGGATTGTCTTCTAAATTTCTTTTTCTGGTAGTTAATTAAGACACTACAAAAAAATTAGGCTAATATCCCTGATAAAAATAGATGCTAAAATCCTTAACAAAGTATTAGCAAACTGAATATAGCAATAGATCAAAAAGATCATACGCCATGATCAAGTGGGATTTATTCCAGGAATGCAAGGTTGGTAGAACATTCACAAATCAATAAATATAATACGCCACATCAACAAAATAAAGGATAAAAACCACATGATCATATCAATAGATGTAAGAAAAAATTGATAAAATCCAACACCTACTTATAATAAAAACTCTCAGCAAAATGGAAATAGAAGGAACATATCTAATCACAACTAAGGTCATATATGACAAACCCACTGCCAGCATCATAGTCAACAAGCAAAAACTAGAAGCATTGTCCTTGAGATTGGGAATCTTGAGACAAGGGTGTCCACTTTCACCTTTTTTATTCAACATAGTACTGG